AGGGGTGGGTAACTCCAGCCCCCTAGCTGTTCTGAAAGTTCTAGTCCCAAGACTGAAAGTTAAACGTTAGAGGCATGACTCCCAGAGGCATGATGGGATTTGTGGTGAAAGCACAACTGGAGGGTTGCCTACCCCTGAGCCAGCTGGAAACGCCACGCACAGCTGCAAAATTTGCATACATTCTGGAGCTGTCTAAGGGTTATGTAGCACATGTGTCTTAGATTTTCTAAGCTAGCCTGTGATATTTGCACAATCAGCTTTCCCAGTGCCCACACACATTATTCACAGGGTAGATGCCACCACCTGCAGTTTGTCAGCTGACTGATCTGCTAGGTGCCACACACACAGATCACAATTTAATAGATTGCACATCTCATCCTGTCAGCCAACTGCTGTAATTACAGAGAACATAAGGGCACAACATAGGAATAGCAGAGGTGTCACCAGCACACCCAAAAAGTTTCAGCAAAAGTCCATTTAATGACAAGTTGCCATTCAATTACATCCGTGGTCACTACAAGCACCCACCTGTACATACAGGATCGCTACTGTTCCGTAAGGATGGCAGCAAGATACCTGCTCTGTCTTAAGGGCACAACCACACAATGCAATCACACATTAGCAGGGAATATACAACCAAGCATACTGGTATTAGTAATACTATACAACAGTAGCTCTAGGACGGGGGTCGCCAAATCTCAGCCCTCCAGCTGTGGTGAAACTACAAATCCTATTAGGCATTGCAGACAGTCAATGGCACTACTTCCAGAGGCAGATGTATGGAAGGATTTGTAGTTTGACCACAGCTGGAGGGTTAAGGTTTGGCTGCCCCTGCTCTAGGAGTTGTGAATTTGTTGCCTATTACACAGAGGGCCAACTTATTCAATATTCTTAAAAGGCAGAACAGTGCAGAGAAATATATACAGAAGTAGTAACAAAAAAAAACAAAACACATGAAGAAACGTCAGATATAAAAGTGATGAAACATCTGGACAGTATTGTTTTATCCTGTTGGTGGGAGCAAATTAGAAATTCAGTGACCGTCCTGTTTTAGAACAAGCTCCAGACTTTACACCATTTTATACCACCTGATAGGGTAACCATGTGGGTCAGACCAGGGACATTGCTAAAGTGATGTGGGGGGGGGGGGGGGGGGTAGCAGAGGGGCAGCCACAGCATCCCAGGTTGCTAAGAAATCATAGCAACTTGTAACACTGTCACTGATGTCATCGGTTGCCAGAGAGCTGAGCATGATGCTCCGGCTGGTGTCCCTGCTAACCAGAGGTCCATACACTGGGTGGGACTGGACAGAAAGCCACTAAGAGCATGGCTCTCACAGCTACACAGCCCACCATCAGTAGCCCCCCACCCCTCAAGGCCTCAGATGGAATATAGGGAAGGGACACCCCTGGGACAGACTGTTCACTCTTGCCCAATTACCTTTGAAGCGGATACACTGCCAGGTGTGAGGGTTGCTTTTTGCCTCTGTAGGTTATATAAAGAAACCAGTTCTGATTTTTTTTTTTAAGAGCCCGTGGAACGTGCATCAAAAATAGACTTCCCCCTGTGAACAAAAAAAGTTAAGGGACCTCGAATTCCCGACCCCCCGGGGCGCAAGGCTCCTGACAGGGGTTGAGATACTTTGGTCCACCAACCCGAAGGCTGGCGGACCCCGATCCTTCGGGGACCTGCCGAGACAGGTCCCACCCAGTACTAGGTAGGGAGCTCTCCCGAAGAGAGACCCCCTGGTTCGGGAAGAGGCAGAGAACCCTATATTAGGGCACAGAACCTCCTCCCATGCATCAGGAATAGGCCCCGAAGGTACCTGCACCCTAGCACTCTGTGGGTCAAAATTTACAAAAACACAAAAATGTGCCAATCGTGCATGAGGTGCAATAAATAAAGGAATAGTGCCAGTGCACCACGCTGACAGGCCCTAGGGCCGGGTGCTAAAAAATTGGCCTGTCCAAGAGGCGTTGTGCAGAAAATGCAATGTGGTGTGTGACCAAGTGCACAGTGAGTCATGTGGGGTCCCACACCCAAGTGACTTTGAGCACCCCTGGGATGCCACACCCAGGGGGCACAACACCACTGGCTCTGCTGCCTCCCAGTCCTCTAGCCTCGACCAAGCTTTGTATCCATTCCTCTCAGGAGGCAGGGCACCTTCAGAGATCCCTCCGACGGAGCCCACCCATCACAAGGGTCGAAAGCTCCGATGGCCTGGAACCTCATCCAGTACCCCACCAATTACGCGAGGAATTACTAAGCCGCCATTTACCCCTCTCCATAGGCGACGGCGGACGCTCTGTTCCCGACAACTGATAAGAACAGATACTACAATTGATCTTAGCCAAAAGTTCTGATGTTCGGGTCAGAATTATGGTTTTCAACACCAGCACATCAACCCGATCACAGGGAGTACAAACACAACAGGGCAGCCATGGGTAAGATCCACATAATGGGTTAAATCAGGGGTCTCAAACTCAATTTAGTCGGGGGCCACTGGACACATTTTTTAGTCCCGTGGGGGCCGCTACTATATACGGTACCAGTTTTAATGTATGTACATATTACAAGTGGCAACCGTCACTGATTCAAATTAATGATCGGGTGACAGCTGCTGCATGTAAACGCCTGCACACCGCATGTATTCATATGTGAAAAGAATTACATGCAGTTAGGAATCAATCACTCTCCCTGGATACACGATTATTTATCCAGGGAGAGCGATTGTTTTTGTAACTGCATGTAATCATATCACATACAATTGCATGTGGTATGCAGGTGTGTACATGCAGCAGCTGTCACCTGATCATTAACTTGAATGGGTGACAGTTGCTACATATAAACGCCAGATTAGGGATTCCTGCTGCAGGAAAACGCAAGTTTGTGACTCCCCCCTCCCTCCCAAACCCCCAGAACACATAATAAACTTTCCCCCCTCCCTCCTTTCCTTCCAAGCCCCCTCACCTGCATGCATCCTTGCAGGGAGGAGGCACATCACCATTCCCTGGTTATCTAGTGGTGATTAGTAAGGTCTAGCGCAGACCTTACTAATGACCCATCATTCGGCCGGAGCTCAGAACTGACAGAGCTCCGCCGGAGCTGACAGGAGCAGCTCTGCGGTCTGCAACCGACAAGAGATGCAGACCGTGTAGCTGCACCCGCAAGTTGGGCACAAGATCCGTGACTGTGTGCCCGACTTGTCAGCTGGCTGCGGGCCATATAGTAGCGGCTTGCGGTCCGGTACTTTGAGACCCCTGGTTTAAATGGTCTATAAGGCCAGGACATGTCATGTTGTACCCGCTTACAACTCATTCTATTAGAAGTAAAGTAGGGCTGTTACTGATTAAAATTTTCGTGTTCGATTAATCGAAATTTTTTTTAAAATCGATAAATTTTGATTAATTATAACGCACATGCAGATGCAACTAGATTGGCCTATACACATACAGCACAGCAATAAAGTAATAAAATGAACTAGGATCACACTAATCCAGCACGTTATTATTCTCACGTGCCCCACTCAATATGGCCGCCGCTTGAGTGGGGCAACTCAGAATAATAACGTGCTGGATTAGTGTGATCCTAGTTCATTTTATTACTTCATTGCTGTGCTGTATGTGTATAGGCCAATGCCTTGGCTGGCGCTCGTGCAGAAAGTTTCTTGGGCAAACTCACTGGCCCAAGTGGCTCCGTTGGCTAACAAAGGGAAGGGGGAGGAGTCAGGTGACGTCACGGACATCGACGTCATTAGACTCCTCCCCTTCGCTTCATTAGCGACGGAGCCACTTGGGGAAGGGGGGAGGGGTCAGGTGACGTTGATGTCCGTGACGTCACTGGATCGCCGGTGGGACTCCCGGAAGCCGGCGGAGAGGTGAGTGTTTTCATTAGCGATCAAAATCATTTTAAATCGATCAAAAAGTTTAACGATTAATCGAGAAATTGTTAATTTCCGCAGCCCTAAAGTAAAGATGTTCAGATACTAGTGCCGATACTTGCCATTGTCACCCGAACTACCAAGGTTGTAGCTGTGACTGGAGAAGTACTCCCCCACCCCTACTCTTACGTGAGTGGACGCTCAATTTGGTTTCCTTCCCATAGCCAGGACCTTTTAGGACCCCCATCACTCAGGCAGGGTACTGTGATTCCAGCCATACAAGCCATAAGGCCAGTACAGCATCTCCTTTCCCTCTCCAACTGCTAAGAACAGATACTACACTTGATCTTAGCCAAAAGGCAGAGAAGCCATTTAGAATCTTGACAGATGAAACATACTCCTCTGATCTTAGGAAAATAAGTGATAATTGTAGACCTTGTGGCGCCCCAAAGTGAAATGACCTCCCTCACTGCTGGCTTGCAGTCGTGGAGGATGAGGACTTCTTATGATGGCTCTTGAAGGAAATTACTTTTATCTCCTGCCACATGCCAACAGGATCCTGCCCGAGTGTCGTTGGCAGTGAGGTGTTAATTCAGGTCTACTCAGATTCTGAATGAGGAGCATATGGAACGTTACTACTTCTTGGTTAAATCTGGATCTAGAGATGAGCCTGAGCTTGGTGCAAACCTACTTCACCCAAGCACACTCAGAACTATGACCCAACCAGTGGCAGCAGTACAGCTGCAGCATAGGAAATGCACCTTTCAACTGATTGCACAGGGGAGGTTTTGAGTGGGCTTGGGTGAACTGGGCTCATCACCATTAGGAACATATCTGGAATATGTGAATCTTACCTTGTATATGCAATAAGGGGTATTGGCACAACGCTTGTTAAACTGGAAAATCAGGTGCCAGATTATCTCTATATGTTAGGATTTGTTCCTGCCCCTTTCTCTTCAAAAAGATTTGAAACCTGACCTGATTTGGGTAGCTGACCCTGATGGGGGTAGCTGAGCTTTGGAATGCATTGGGTTAAGTAATCCAATCCTCAAGCATGTTAATAATTGGCAGCATAAAAAGGAAAATGCATGGACAAGAGCTGCGATTCTATTTCGGCTGTCAGACATGGATGTCCTCACTCTGTCTCTCTGCTCATTTATGCTCTTCTACGTCATCACCATCGTATGGAGAACACAGAAGACGCGGCTCCGGCTTCCTCCAGGACCGACCCCGCTGCCAATTATCGGCAATCTGCTTCAAGTGAGCTTTGCATTGTATAAATGTTATCTCAAGGTGAGTCAAATATCCTGGTAGACACTAATGATTGAATTTCAGTTCCAAAGGTTTGCTTATGCAGGATTCCTCTTGCACCAGAATTGGCCATTTCACTCATCCCTAGGTAAAATGTGATTGATTTATTGTATGCTCTTTTGTTGATAGGGATACAAGTTATTCCAATAGCTTCAAAAAGACTGTTGAGCGGACCTTGGTTGCCATAAATCCGGCACGAACATGTAGAAATGATTATCGGTTATGAATTAATTAAAGAATTAAACTTTATCATCCTTTGCCTTGGCAGCTAGTTATATTACCTGCAGTATTCACACTTTATGATTCTATGCAATTAAAGGATCAATCTTGCCAAAGAGTTTTCAGATATAGAAATGAGTAACCTGCAATTTCCTCTACAGTATATGGCTAAAAGCTTGTAAACCTCTAAACATCACACCAACTATATGGCCAAAAGTTTGCGGATGCTCCTGGAAGTGAGTTCAGGTGTTTCCAGTGAAGGGTACTGTTAATACTACAACATACAAAGACATTTTAGACTATTGTGCTCTTACAACCTTGTGTTGACAGTTTCTGAAGGTTCTTTTTTGTTCCAGTAGGACTGTTCCCCTAAGCACAAAGCCAGCTCTATAAAAGACGTTGTTTGACCAGTTTGATGTGGAAGAATATGAGTGGCCTGCACAGAGCTTTGAGCTCAACCTTATTAGACATGGATTGGATCAATGATTTGCATGCCAGGTCTTCTCATCCAGTATCAGTATCTAACCTCACAATTCTTCCTTTAGCTGAATGGGCTCAAATTCCCCCAGATACACTACAAAATCTTGTAGAAAAACTTGCCAGAAGAGTGGAAACTGTTATGGAGTTTCCATCCTTTGTTTTTTTTAGGAGCCCGTGGAACATGCATCGATAACAAGCCCCTGTGAACAAAAAAAGTTAACCGTGAAATCACAGCACACAAAAACGTGCACAAGGGTGCTTGGTCCTTCAATAAAGAAGGGACCCCTATTCCCGACCCCCCGGGGCACGAGGCTCCTGACAGGGGCTGAGACTGTATGGTCCACCAACCCAAGGCCGGTGGACCCCGATCCTTTGGGGACCTGCCGAAACAGGTCCCTCACAGTACGAGGTTAGGGGATCTCCTGAAGTGAAACCCACAGGGTGGGAGGAGACAGAGAACACTATATTAGGGCACAGAATCTCCTCCCCAGCATCGGGAAAAGGCCCCGAAGGAACCTGCACCCTAAGGATGGGAGTTTCCATCCTTTGTGGCTATATTAATGGCCATGGTTTTGGAATGGGATGTCCAACAAGCTTATGTAGGTGGGATGGTCAGCTGTCTACAGAAATTTGTTTACATATCTGTAAAAAATAAGTCAAGGCAATTGGACTTGCTGTATTTTTATTGAACACGTTTCACTGGTCATCCAACCAGCTTTCTCAATTCAGAATGACTTGTACAAAAATTCTCGGGGAATAAATATGGTGCATGTCGCTCCAATCCACATAATCCGTTAGTCGCAACCAGGTGTTGGTTGCATTTGCATAATTGGAGCTAGGAGGTGTTAATAATGATGCATAAACCATAATGTCTGGAGTTTGTTTCCTGTTGCATGTATGCAGTCTCTGACATCTACTGTAGTAGGACTGAAGTCTGAGACAGTTTTCTGCAGCATTAATGTTGTGCGCTTCATGTTGTGTGTGGCCCTTTGCTGATTTCAGGGAATACATTAGATGCCCAGTGCTTGTCCCACATTTATAGGCATTCACCATATTTATTCCCAGATAATTTTTGTACAAGTCAGACAGCTGGTTGGATGACCAGTGAAACGTATTCAATAAAAATACAGCAAGTCCAGTTGCCCTGACTTATTTTTTACAGATATTACCATGACCTGGATGAATGAGAAGCTTCAGACATTTGTTTACATAGTATATATCTTAACATCTTGATTAGCAAGGTCTGCCAGCCATAGTTACTTATTCCATCTTACAGTTTTTGGTGTACCTTTGCCATCAATGATATGAACTGCAGCACATAACCTTGTCCTTCACGATGCCACAGTTCCATTCAGCTGAAAAGTATCCTGTACTTTTGAGTATGGAGGAGCATGTGGGATGAGTCACATGGCAGTGCTGGCCAAATCACCAATAATTAGTTGCATATCCAGGGCATGACACATCTCCTAGGTGCCACTTGAAGGGGGGCACCACTCTGAGGGTCGGCAAAAGTTTGCCGACCCTCAGAGAAAGCAGACCGCCCAGCAGTTTTAACTGGCTGCAGCAGGGGTTGAATAATAACAGTGGGAGTCACTGCCACTGTCATTCAACCCTAGTTTCTGCGAGCTTGTTGCTAGGACTGCCTGACAACCTAGCAACCAACCACCAGCCGCCAGGGAGTTGAATGATTGCAGTGGGTTGAATGACCCAGCTGGTGGTTGGGTGCTAGGACCACCCTAGAAAAAAAAACGAATGACAGTCTCCGCCCTACCAAGCATTCAACTCTGCATATGTGCCTTCTGCCTGCCCCCCCTCAACTAGCCACCCATACCCACCAAGTACACTACTGCAAGGGACACATAAGGCGGAACACAGTCCCCCTTACATCAGAGTCCCTCAATACACCAGAATCCCCGGGACCTGGATAAAAAGTGTGTCTCTGGAGTACTCTAAATGGGTAACTCTGGATACAGAGTCCCCCCTTACATTAGTGTCTGATCTAAGGAGGTGCACTGCTGCAAGGGGAACTCTGGGGACTGATGTAAGGGGCGAGGGGCTCTCATGAGCGTTTGTTTTTCTCTCGTATTTTTAAGTTGATATCATGGTACGTTTATCTAAAATATGGGTGTCAGTTTTTGGAAAGGGGCACAATCTCAGTGCTTGTTATAGGCACTTTTATCTGTAGATACAACCCTGCCTATAAATGTAAGAAAGGCAATGGTTTAAATCAGTGGTCATCAAGATGCTAGACATTTAATGTATCCCCTGAAATCAGCAAAGGGCCACACATAACATGAAGTGCATTTAATGCTGCAGAAAACTGTCTCAGACTGCTGGCATTCATGGAAAAGGAAACAATCTGAGTCTCCAACCATTATGGTGCATGCATCATTGTACAAACCCCTATGAACAAAAATCACATCACACAAAGTGCACAAGGGTCCTCCACCAAAGATATATGGCCTCAATATCCCTGAACCCACAGGGCACAAGGCTCCTGACATAGGCAAAGCACTAGTCCTCCGAACCATAGGGGCTGGCTGAAGCCAGTCCACCAAGTACTTGGTAGGGGTTCTCCTGAACAGAGACCCCCTCGGTGGGGAGAGGAAAAAGACCCATTAAGGCCACAGATCCTTCCCCAGACAACAGAGGCAGCCCTAAATAAAAACCTGCACCTTTTGTTATCTGTGCAGTGAAAAAGTGCTCCTGCTTAAGTGCTATAAAATAAATAAATAGGGCCATGCACATAGACATGGCAGGCCTTCTGGTTGGAACAAAAAATTGCTCCAGGCTAGTCAAAAGGCCTGCCTAGGAAGAACGTGCAAGAAAAAGCATTAGGTGCTAGTGCTTCACAGTGTAGCCTAAGCTCGCAGCATTTCTTTGGAAACCCCAGGACGCCACTCCCAAGGGAACACATTCACCAGGAGCTCCTTTCATTCCAGACCCCTGGCCAGATAAGGGTAGATATTCTACAGGAGACAGTCAGACTGTATAAATATGATGGTTAGAGACTGTTCTATATATGTTCTTTTAATACTAGGGGCATTACAGGTGTAGCTGGGGCGACTTACGTCACTCAATGACGTACCCAAGGAGAGTGTCACTGAGTCTCTGAGACGTGACTGCAGAGGTCAGCGCCGCTGCGGCCGGCGGCCGGGGACTAGTCTTTCAGATGCCGCCCGCCCACACACTGAGTCTGGTCTCGATTGGGCAACTTTTCCGCCCTGTTCCCTGGCGCCGTAAGGCAAGTGCCCATCTTGCCTTGCGCTAGCGCCGGCCCTGGCGCTTACCCCCGAATATGAAGTAAGGCTCTCCTACCTGTTTTGCCAGCCACCAGCCCCTTTTTCTCAGCTCCAGCAACACCGACACTCCGGAACAGAACAGGCTCGAGTCGTAGGGTCTTTTTAGCATTTATTGCACAGTATCAACTAGGAGAGCAGGTTTGGGATTGCAGGATACCCGAGTACCAATTCAGAGGACTCTGTATTGTCCCTCAGCAACGGCTTGAAACAGTAGCACAACGGTCCTGTAAGAGCGACCAGTATTATGTAGTAGGACAGAGCACAGCTTGGAATAGTCCAGGACCTTGAGAGAGAACTGTCACAGGACTTTTAGTGTACCAGCTGGCTTCTCTTCATAAAATACCCGAGAATAGGGTGAGGGATCTCTTACAGGGTTCAAGACAGTAACCCTCACCAGCTCCTCTGGGACACTCCTCAATAAGCAGATTCCACCTCCAGCCCAGCTTCCTTTCCAGTAGCATCTAAGATCTCTAGGCCCCCAGCATGTGCCACATGCTGAGGCTCAGACCAGGCATCCAGTAGTATCTTAGGCCTCTAGGCCCCCAGCATCTGCCACATGCTGAGGCCTAGGCCAAGCATCTGTAGCACACAGACCTCCTCCCAGGGAGGGCCCCAGGGGAGACAGAAAGAGTTCTGGGCAGTGTCCCCAAACATTTATCACCTTTCTCCAGCCATACCTCAGAGTCAGCCTGCTCAGGGATTGGTCAGAGTAAGAAGCATAATCACAGTCTGAGTATGGATCCTCCCTCACTGTATGCTGAGTCCCCAGCCCAGCAACAGGGGGAAGCAATCAATCCACCAGACACTTGGAATCCTGCAGAACTCAGAGAAAAATCAGCATCCAGACTGATTACAGTCCAGATATAGAACTAAATTTAGTAGAGACATAGCAGAGGGCGCTACACAGGCAAAATTCCTCAGCAAAATCCATTATAAAAGGCCATAAAACCCCCTAAAAAGTAATAAAGTAAGGGTATTCATACTTTGATAAGGCAGGAGCATATTGATAGCTAGTTAGTCTTTACTGCATTGCACAGTACTGTGATCAACAAACAGATTGCCAATTAGAGGAGAGAGCACAGAGATGACCTTAGTAAGCTCCTTCACTATTCAGTCAGTCACAATCTAAAAAATGGGCTGAAAATCTCGGCTTATACTCGAGTATATACGGTAAGCTGTATTGGTTTCAAAAAGAAAATTGGCCAGTATCTGGATATGGGGCCTGGCAGGGGTGAGTGGATTAGAAAACTGGCTGAATAGAATTACATTTTTTGAGCAGCTAAGGCAATTTACAGATACCAGTTTCATCAGTGCATTTACCCATTTGCCTAAACCTTTACTCTAATGTTGAGGATCACTGTTCGAAGCTTCTTCTTTCTACAGTGCAATCAGTGCACAACTATCCGGGGAGGACCCAAAGGGACCTTTTTTTAAAGGCTAACAAATTATTTTTTTGATGTTACAGACTTAGGTTTAGCCATTTCATTTGGAGGAGATAGTTCCTCTAGATAGAGACTAGTTTTGCGAATTATGCAATGGAGAGTTAATGCAAATTAGACATTTAGTCATGTACTGTTCTGTATGTGTGTTTTCTTTCAGCTGTCTAAGCAGTATGGACCCATCTTCACTGTGTGGTTGGGTTCCAAACCAGTGGTAGCGCTATGTGGATATACGGTTATTAAAGAGGCCCTGATCAATTATTCTCATCAATTCAGTGCTCGTGGATTCCTACCAATTTCAGAAAGAATGGCAGAAGGTTATGGTAAGAAGTCGGTTTTTAAGGGTCCAGACAGGGGCAAAGCACACTCGGTCTACCTGATCAAAGCCAGACTGACACCATTTTTCAGGGAACCTGCTGAAGCCAGTTCACCCCGGAACTAGGATGAGACAACCTCAAACGTGAGCTGGAACACCCAAAACTCTTGTTATTTACAGCAGATAGATCTTATTGAAGGAGAATCTAAGACCAATATTGCCAGAGGTTCACACAGCCAACAAGGCTCCAGCAATAACTAAAATATCACTTTCAGGTGCACTGAGTCTTTAGGGTTTACCTGTTTAAAGTGAAAGAATAGTATTGCATGGTCAAGCAGTACTTCTCACCATTAAAAATGACTAAAAATATACCTTGAAAATTCTAGGTTTCCTTTTTCGTCAGTCCCTCAGCCAGCTCTCTGCTAACCAAACCCCAGCCAGTGTAAGCAAATGTTTCAGACTGTCACCATCTACCTTCTCCATCCTATGAACAAGGGAGGATCTGCAGAAGTGACTTCAGCTTCTCTACTGAGATTCCTGAGAGACAACAGTGTTGTAGAAGGAGCAATAGCAAATAGATTAACATCTTGTTCTATATTTAGGTATAATCACCACCAATGGCGAACGCTGGCAGCAGGTTAGACGATTTGCAGTGAGCACGCTGAGGAATTTTGGAATGGGGAAGCGATCGATGGAGGAGCGAGTGCAGGAAGAATCCCGTCACCTCATAAAGGCGATAGAGAATATTGGAGGTAAGATCAGAAGTGCCTGCTATGAAGAAGTCATTGACATATGTCAGGATGTAAGACTCCCCGTCAATCTTGGTAGGGGTGTAAGTGTATCACTGGATATAAAAGAAGGAAATCTTTTCAGGATTATCTGCTCGAATGGGATATCTTTGAGGTTACTTGACCTGTGGAAAAATTGATCACCTGGGAGTTTTCAGAGATGTATGTTATGTAGCTACAAGCAAGCACCTCCAGAAATAGAGTCAGAAGAGCTTCTGTTAATGATCAAGCTATGCTTTTTTGATAGCAACTTTAAAAAATCCAATGTGTCTGGAGGGTTTTACAATCTAGCTGCCTCAAAACCCTTCAAAATACATAGGTTTTTAACCATCAACAAAGCTATGGCTTGATCAAGAACACGTGCTCCACAGATAAGATACACCATATGAATGTCCACGTCTCTTTCACAGAAATGAACATGGTACATGTGGCTGTGACAGTATTCGCCATCTGTCATGTACATAAACAACTGAGAATGGACAGTGTAACACTTCCTGTCGGTGACCATGTCACCAGAACTGAAATAAAGAGCAACTCGCCTCAATGGGGCCTTAGACAAGACCCAAAGGAGCTAGACCTGAGCGAGTTCTTCATTACCAAAAACTAAAATGAAAATGGTTGAAGTTGCACTTTAATTTTCTGGAGGGCTTCCCATGTGTAGCTGCTTTGGCTTCAAGGCTCACAGACATGGAACTTGCAGGCTGCCAAGAAAGCCTTAACTTCTGGGCCTCCATGTTTGTTCCAGGTGATTACGTAATAAAACTAGGGATGTCTTAACTAACTAGATAGGCAGGGCCAGCAGTGTAGTGCGCGGCCGCCGGATACCTTACACCGGCGCCCGCAACTTCCCCACAAGGTCACCACTGCCGCCCCGAGGCCGGGCCTCGGTGGCCTTGTGGGAAATCCGGGCCTGAGGGCCAGCAGTCAATCACGCAGTAATGTCGGGATCCGTCGCGGCTGCGGTGGTCTCAGTTTACAGCGAGCTGTAGCTCGCGGTATACGTGGCTTTGGGTGACGGGCGGATGCTAGTTTGTGTCCTCCCGTGACCCTTAGGAGAACTATGGGGAAAAACACTTACCCCATAGTTCGCCTTTAAATATACTAAATCAGACGAAATGTATCCTCTTGTACTGGTCTATTAAAATTATCCAGACATTATCTGCTTTTCTCTCTATACCTGAATTAAGCCAAACAATGACTGGTGTCACCAAGACAGGTTCTTACCCTTCCTCTCCTGTCATGAGGTTGGACCATAGGTTCTGGGAGATTCCCATAGTCTGCTTTCCACACTCTGATTAGTTAGGTTATTAAAACGGCAGTTACAAAAGGAAACATGGTAACCATAATAGTTCACAACACGAAGGGATGTGTCCCTTTTATTGGACAGCATGGTGTAGGCATCCCTTTCACACTGTAAACATGCATTGATGCCAAAATATCCAGGTCATAGGTGATTGTCAGGAAGATACTTTAAGCTCCCATATTGTATTAATGTTTATTCCTAACATCCCTAGGTAAAGTGCACAACCCTCACACGGTTCTTGGACGTGCAGTAAACAATGTGATAAACTTAGTGGTGTTCGGTCGGCGTTGGGACTATGACGACAAGACCATGTTGAAATATATCTCCATCATCAATAATCTGTTCAATTTTCTCAGAAGGCCTCTAGGAGTGGTAAGTGCTTTTAACATAATTTTAATATCATTTACATGAAGTAAACCTGTCATGAGATAAATATGGGTCAAAAAAATGTAAGTTGCTAGAAAATGCTAGAGCTGGATCATCCAAGTCAACCTAGTCAGGAGCAGTAGATGTTCTGGGGTCTCCCCTCATCTACGAAATTCATGCTCATGCAGCAAACCATTAGGATAGCTTGTGCAACTGCCCAACACAAGGTAGAATGCATTCATAGACAGTTAGCGTCTGATGGGGCGGGATTTTCCAGTACAGACAATGTAACTGTAAAAGGAACTTTGTTCTCACTGCAAAATTGTTAAAACTCTTAAACATAGTTTTTATTTTGAAAGCAACATAAAAAATTGGTTTGCATCAATACAAACAGCATTGGTACGTACAATTGATAAAAAGTCCATCTGCCATACAATACAGGTAATGTTCCAATGACCTAGTTGTTTGTAGGAGAGTTGGAAGATGGTAGTTGCTCCAGGTGCCTCAACACGTTTTGCCGCATAGCAGCTTCCTCAGGAGGACCTCAAACCTAAAATGCTGTAACTCTATTGATCATCAGAGGCAGAGAATGGACAAAGTGCAGTCCTCTCAGCGGTTGGGCGGTCTGGTTTTGCCTTTTCTGCTCCCCTCCACTATTTTTGGGCGGCAGCTTTCTGGGCTTGAGGTCCTCCTGAGGAAGCCGCTAAGCTTATGTGTTCAAAATAAAACATGTTTTTTAGTTTAACACTTTTGCAGTGAGTACCAAGCTCCTTGAAAGTCATTCCCTCTCCCAGGTTTTTGGTTACCTGGGGGTGGTAAATGATAATTTTATCTGTGTAAAAACTCAAGTCTTTTGGGGTATGGAAAAAGTGTCTCACCTTTACTAACTGCCAATACTGTAGATTTATTTAAAGCTACTACCTTGTCTAGGGCACTGCTTTTCACCCATCTATCCATGGCTGATTCATGCTCAATCAGTTGAAATTTGATCTGTGGCTGGAACATTAACAGCCAAACAGTGAATGCATTCCATCATATAGCCCAAGCTGCTTGGCTGTCATTCTAAACTTCTGGAGTTAGTCATTTCAACATCCTTGTTGGGAAAGAGTATGCAAATCAGGAAGGTTAAGGTAAAGTCATAAGTCCTTCTCTGTATGCTTGTTCTAAAGCAGTGCATTGAAGCCAGTGGGTCAGGACGACAGCCAATAATCTATGATTTTCTCAATGAGAGATCCCTTACCATTACACCAGATCCCCGTACCAGACCAACCAGTAGCAGGTTGCAGCTTCCTATATCTTCTGACCACACATGTCCTCAGTGGCCAGAGGGAGGTTCTGGAGGAGGAGAGAGCATGGTTTAGATTACCTTCTCTTTTCTCCAGGGCTGTATGGTTTCTCTGGTCAGTGGCTGACAGGCTTGATGTTGTGGTCACTACTCCCATCAGCCAACCAGTGGGTGAGCTGGAGGGAACTCACAAAGGCCTAGACACCCAGTAATCATACCGATTAGCCAGGAGTCTCCAAGTCAAATCTGGAGAGTTCCCAGTTATAACACACCAGCAGATGACAGCGATAATCTCTTCAGAATGTAATAGGAATGCACAGATGATGAGGATCTAATTTATTCTGTATTTAGAAATAGTTTTTAATTAATTGAAATTATTTGGTTCCCCCTTCCCAAGAAACTTCAGCCAAACATACCAGACGTAGTAGCCCCATAGCTGGAGGGCAAGCCAGAGTCTAGTACAACCTTGTCTACCCTTCAGGATGAGGGGGGTTTGTTTCTAGAGGTGTGGGCAAGAACAGGCATAAGATCTGCCATGCTATTACCAGCTTGCACACCTGTTACTTTTGCAGGGTTGACTGCACACAAGCTGTTTTTGCTGGGGTGGGGATTTGCTGCCATGTTGGATGTATGGAGTTGGGATTTCCTTGGGCGCTGCACGTCTGACATTGCACCATCAGGCATTTCTGGCATTACTCACCTTAAGAGTAACTATACAAAACTGATACACTTACATATATCTTTGCTTTTTGTCCTACTTCCTACTCAGGCATATGTTGCCTTTGACAGTCTAATGAAGCATCTTCCGGGTCCCCATCAGAAGGTGTTTGCAGATTGCGAGCATGTGAAATCTTTCATCAGGGAGGAAATTGAATCACACCGGAGATCCCTGGATCCAGAGTCCCCCCGAGACTTCATAGACTGCTTCCTCATCCAGGCTGACAAGGTAACAGGACATATACAAGAGGCTGTACCACCAAGTACCAGAAACTCCTCTAAGGCTCAAGGCCCATTTAAATTTGTGCTTTGTAGTAACATGCACAAAGTGCAAATTACCGCCATCAGGCCTGCCAAGAGGTCACTACCATTACCTCAATTTCCTGACCAGTAGTCTTGTTATCCCAGTATCAGGTGAGGTGACAGGTGGAAATCTCACAGCCAGGAAAAAAAGACACAGGGACCCAGTAAGAGATGGTGCAAAAAGGCCATTAGGAATAAAAACAGGTAGTATATACAGGAAACAAAAGAGTTACTCACAGTAAGGTACAAACCAGGGTCTGTAACCAGAAAGCTGAATATCGCAGTACCAGGGGAAAAGCAGATCAACATTTAAATCCAGGCTGGGTCAGCCAGAAAACAAAAGGCAGCAGTACCAATGGATAGTCCAGGAGCAGATGAAGGACAATCTGAAGTTACGCAACCAGTAATCCAAAAATCAGCAAATACACACGCCCAAAAAGCCAAACCTATGCACAGGACCAGGAAGCAACTATGTATAAAGGGTTGATTAGGTAACTGCCCACAGCTGAACAGCAGGGAAACCAGAGACCCAGCCAGTGCAGGTGATAGGAAACAAGAAATCCTACACTGAGCTAGAGCCAAAGCCTCCGGTGGCTCTAGAGGAAGGTCAATGACCCAGAGATTTAAAGTCCCAGGATCAATTCCAGGCATGGTTGTGACATCCCCATTGCATGGTAACCCAACACCTGTGGTTAAGAATGGTACCCTAGCACACAATCCCATTAAGGTGTACTTCATGACCTTTCATACCGAAAAGGCTGCAGTAATGCATTGCAATTACACACATATGTTCCACCACTCATGATGCAACTGGCATAAAGATGCATTGAAGCCTCTGAGACTGATGTTGATTTTATATTCAGGACAGTCATATATAAACTGTGGGCATCCCTCGTCAAATGATACATTCTGTTGATTTTCCAAGTTCATCTGTCAGCCTTCTTTACCGCCAGGCCCCACCTCCTCCTCGGTCGCCGGCAGGCCCCACAGTCAACGTGCCTGGCCTCTTTCTCCTCCTCCTCCTTCGCTGCCAGCCTCCTCCACCACAGCTGCTGGCTGTCACTGACTCAGCAGTGGCTGTGAGGAGGAACGCTCCCCTGCACCGATCACTGACAGGTTGTCAGTGATCTGGACAGCGGCACATTCCTCCTCACAGCCGCCAGTGACAGCCAGCAGCCTGCAATGCCATAGCATTTTTCAGCTTCCCAGCCCACAAGAAAGGAATATCCAGTCAGGTTCTACTGCAGCGACTTAATAATTACTCCAAATAATGGTCAGTCAACAGAAGAATGAGTAGATGTTCTTTCCAATAAATGGCACAATATTCAGGGGTGGCATATCATCTTGAGTAATATAACTGGTACATAATGGTTGCCCATGAGGAACAAAACTATCTTCCTGACTTGCCTTTCTCCCAAGACACAAGGGAGCTATGACAGGCAGATTGCCTGGAACCCAAAGCAGTGGGACCTGGCCTAAAAGGGCCTAACACCCCCAAACAACTTTTTTGACTTAAACGTCCATAATATATATTTAATATTATAAGAATTAAAATGAAATAAATATAATAGTGGGCATTATATTAAGTACAGACAGAGCAGATATAATACAAATTGTAAATAAAATATGATGCATATTATAAATGGTTGATAAAACCTTCCACAGGCAGAAGATCACTTTGCCCGATAGGCAGTGCAAGGTGCTGGAAAGCAGAGAGTGTTCTTGCACTCGGCACACCACTGCCACTAGGCATTAAACTGTGGGCCAACAGGTGGACAGACCTGGTTTAGAGTTAGGCCAGCCATAGGCATGAAACAACTGTTAGAAGATTCAACTATTTCAAGAAATGTCCGTGGCCTAAACAGGTGCACTTATAGTATTGAGTAGGGATGCACCCATACCAATACTACTAGTAGTAATGCTCTTGATGCCTATCTCGATACCGGAACTTCCGGTATCAGGAAGCCGAGCTAGAGTCATTACACACTGCCCAGCTTCCTGAAGCTGACTCCATGCTCCCTCATCACCACGGAGTATGGAGCTGGCTTCCCGGCCAATCAGGAAGCCGGGAGGCGGGTAATCACTTGCCCCCCCCCTTCCTGATTTGCCGGGAAGCCATCTCTATGCTCTCTCGTCACTGGGTGACGAGGAAGCATAGAGCCGGCTTCCCGACCAATCAAGAAGCCGGGCGCTGTGTAATGACTTGCCACCCAGCTTCCTGATTGGTCGGGAAACTGGCCAATCAGGAAGCCAGGCGGCTAGTCATTACCCGCCCCCCGGCTTCCTGAATGGTCAGAAAGCCGTTTCCATGTTTCCTTTTCACCTGGTGACAAGGGAGCATGGAGACAGCTTCCTGGATAATTGGGATGCCGGGCGGGAGTCATTACACGCCACCCGGCTTCCTTAATGGGACTTCCGATTTCGTTTTTCTGTGTTGGTGAGTACCGAAAAAAAACATATTGGTAATCTTACCCGATACCGAAAAAACTGTATCGGTGCATCCCTGTTGGAATTCGAATTTTAGAACATCCAAAAAGTTTGCATTCGAACTCTAACTCAATGCAAGTCAATGGGAGTAGAACTTTCAAAAACAATTGTCCCCTTCAAGAGGGCTTATATGCAAATTATTGGCCATAAACGGTGTATGGCAGTGGTCTCAAAGTACCGGCCCCCGGGCCAATTGCGGCACGCGAGCCGGTACTATGTGGCCCGCAGCCAGCTGACAAGTCAGGTACGCGGTCACGGACAGCGTACCTGACTTGCAAGAGCAGCTACACAGTCTGTATCTCTGTCGGATACAGACTGCAGAGCTGCTCCTGTCACCGGTGGTACTCAGATCCTTTCAGCTGGAGCTCAGTTCTGAGCTACGGCCGAAAGAAAGGAGGTATTAGTCAGGTCTGCTAGAGCACCAGGGATCGATCGTGCCTCCTCCCTGCAAAAAGGTAGGCAGGAGAGGGGCTCTGTATTTTATTTTATGTGTGTGAAGGGGGTTGTATTATTATATATGTGGGGGGAGGTGTGTATTTTTGTTATGTGTATGGGGGTAGTGTTTTTTTTTATGTGTATGGGAGAGGGGGTGTATTATTTTATATGTGGGGGTGTATTGTTTAATGTGTATGGGGTTGGGGGTAATTATTTTATATATGGAGGAGTCTATTTTCTTTATGTGTATGGGAGGAGGTTGTATTATTTTATATGTGAGGGAGTGTTTTTTATGTGTGAATGGGGGGTGTTTTTTTTTTTATGTGAATTATTTTATATGTACAGGGGTAGTATTTGTTTATGTGTATAGGGGGGCCCTATTAGGCTCCATTCACACCTGTAAGTTTAGGTGCAATTAGGGATTCCTGCGCCAGGAACTTGCGTTTTTTCTGCAGCAGGAATGCCTAATCTGGCGTTTACAAGCGGCAGCTGTCACCCATTCAAGTTAATGATCAGGTGACAGCTGCTGCATGTAAACACCTGTACTCCGCATGTAATGGTATGTGATGTGATTATGTTTGGTTAGGAATCAATCAGGAATCAATCACTCTCCGTGGACGCATCGATTCTGCATCCAGGGAGAGTGTTTTCTAACCACATGTAATCATATCACATACCATTACATGCAGAGTGCAGGTGTTTACATGCAGCAGCTGTCACCCGATCATTAACTTGAATGAGTGACAGCTGCCGCTTGTAAACGCCAGATTATGGATTCCTGCTGCAGGAAAATGCAAGTTCCTGACGCAGGAATCCCTTATTACACCTAAACTTACAGGTGTGAATAGGGCCTTATTATAACGAAAAACCAATACCGGGGCCTCCGGCTGCAAGACGGGCCAGCTGTAACGATTAATGGAACACAACAGAGGCAACTCCCACCGGTCAAAAAGACCATCGATCTGGGAAAAAAAGGACAAAAAACTTAATTTTAAAAATGTATTAGTACGACACACAACTGGAATTGTACTTACAAAAAGGTTGGTGGCTAAAAGCATGTAAAAGTTGATGAAACTTGAAATCTTTAGCAGCGGGAGTCTGAAGGGATGTATCACATCAGCGTCCTCTGCCCCTGTGAATTCAAAAGGACCTTTGTTTTGTTCTTTGTTTCCCAGGGCCTTATTGTGTGTGTATTGGTGTCCGTAGTATCATACCGGCTATAGTTAACTTTAGATGCCACCCCCCCTTGTGAATGAGTAAGGGGTACTTGTACCCCTACTCATCCACTAAAAGGGTAAATAAAATTGTAAATAAAAAACAGACTTTTGAAAAAATCTTTTATTTGGAAAAGTCTTTTATTTAAAAAAAATAAAAAAATTGATCCACCAATATGTAATAAAACGTCAATCACGACATCCGACATCCGACGTTGTACACGACGACTCGAAAAAATAAAACAATAAAAAAATAGAAATAATAAAAATAAAAAAACCCGACGACTGCTGTCTCGTTCACAGAACGAACACCCGCCGAATAATGGCATTTTGACAGATGGCGGTAACATATAAACATTTGGGGGAATTCACATAGTGGGGTCCCAACTCATAGTGCTACTTGATCACCCCCAGGGCGCCATTCCCGGGAGGTATTCATACTGAAAACCAGATTGACTTGATGAACCTGATTCTGGACTAAGATGTCCCCACTCTTCTTGCTGGATATTTAATTTATCTTATACTATGGATAATGCTGCAGGAAAAATGGGGACAGCAAAAAAAAAAAAACACAACATCAACATGGTTGAGTACAGGTCCAGAAAGTCCACTCCATTTCTCCATAACATAGAGAATAAAGAAGCTGGAACAATGTAAATGATAACGGTTAGCTAAGGCACAGAAAGTTATCAGCTAAACAGGTGTTTTTTGGACTTCTCGCTTCTCTGCCTTTTGCCTATGGTCAAATATCTGTTCTTATCAGTGTTCAGGAGGGGAAATGTGCCACTGCTCTGGCCTCATGGTAGGTATGGCTGGCTGCAGAG